TGTGCACAGGAGTGATAATATCTGCATACTTCACATACTACACTGCATTTTGTTTACCCCATTCCACAAAAAAGAGTGACAACTAGATCGAACTACCTCAACACAATGTAAAGACAGGTCATGAGCATTAAAAAACAGACCACAATATGGCACTCATTATAAAAACAAAAATAGTTTTTTCCAACAAAATATTTCAGTATTGTGATTGGCATGCCTTTCATTCAGGAGGCACACAATTTCAGGCAGTAAGTTATTAGCACATTAAAGACTGTTGATTTAAATATTTAAATGACCCTGGGGACCAGCATTATTAAACCTACTATCCTAACTTGTGCACTGTTCACTTTAAAAATTAATATAAAATCTCCTAATTAATTTTATGAACTAAAATTTTTGGGGAGAACACTTACCAATGCTCCTAGAAGTGCTCAAGTGTGTGATATTTCTGGAAACATTCCCCTTTCTGAAGTGGCATTCCACAGAACTTGCAAATGTAGACAGTCATACTTCTTTTTTTTGTGAAATGTGCAAACATGGCATTGCCTTGAAGGATGCTTCCCCTTGGAATGTTCACTCTTCACAATTTTCAGGAGGGTATGTTTCTGCATATCACCCGAGAGTCGCCCTGGAGGGTCCACATGAGGCCTGCGTGGGGTGGGAGTTGATGGGCCCAGGCTCACTAAGTCTGTGTCTGACTCTGGTTCTGCCGCCACCATCTGGTCTGTAGCCCAGGCCTTTGCCACATTCATCAGAAATGCTTTTTATTTCAAATTTGAATCAGGGTTTAGATTTTTGTGATTTTTTTTTTTATTTTTTGCTGTCCCCGCAATGTTACTACCCGCATTTTTGTCGGAGCTACTGTCACTTTTAGTGTCTGTGGCCTCAATTCTTTGTTCTCCACTGTCACTGCCACTGTCTGAGTCACCATCACTCCGCCTCTCACAAGGCATGTAAGCTAGCTCACTGGAGAAGAATTTGTCCTTGATCCATATCCCACCACTAACTACTGGCTGGTACAAACAAATTGAAGACAGGCAAAGCATTCTCTTTTAGAGGGGGGAAAGAAAACAGCTAGGTCATGTTACTGAATACTAATCAAACGTTCCGGAGTTTTATGACTCAGTATCTATGCAGCTGCACGGCAAAATAGCAAGGTATAGTGTGTTGCAACCTAACGTGTCCTAAAATCATATCATGCGACCGGTCCACCACGTTTAAAAGCGAAAAGCATGATATCATGCGACCAGTCTTTTAACTATTAATGTCTTAGTATGCCTACTGGGGCTCACGGTAGTATAGATGGTTGAGACATCGTGCTACAAGCCGGAAAGTCGCTGGTTTGATTCCCAGTGAGGTCACTGAATTTTTCAAATGACCTAATCGCACTATGGTCCTCAGGCCGACTCAGCCTCTAACAGATACGAGTACCAGGAATCTTCCTGGGGGTAAAGGGTGGACTGCCTAAAATATGTGACAGCCTTGACATCACACAACACTATTGGACTCCATGGCCTATTACAGGGATAGCTACATCTTTCAGTGTTCCTCTTTCTACCACAGGATTGATTATGAAACAAAGCAACCTTTTGTGAGCATTTTTATGTCATTGGCAAATTATAAAATGATTACTACATTCCATATTTCAGTCTGAAAACAATAAGATATAATGAAAAATATATAGTGTGACATGTTGAGCTATGGATGACGCCCCTCCCCCACCCCCGCCAGCCGTGATGCGCCGAGCGAAGCCAAAGTTAGCCGAGTCCTAGCATCCTGGTCGCTATGCAAAGCAAGTCAACAGCGATGACATCACCAAGGGCAGCACGGGTAAACAGGATTGCGAGAGACGATGGTGGTAACAGCGGTTACTACCGCTAGCGTTACTAGCAACACAGTGCCAGGCAACAAGGGTGCTTATTACGTGGCCGTTTTCTGTATTGTCCGATCGAGGCTACATGAGGCGCAGCGAAGGCTATTCACAGTTAGTCCTGGAGCTACCTACGAGTCAGTCCTCGAGCTACCTCCGAGTTAGTTCCGAGTTAGCCAGCAACCAGTCAGTTGTATTGTGGCATTTGGAGTGTACTAATTGTGATACTGCAGATAGCAGTAATCGTAAATCTGTAATTTGGGTGATTGTAAATGCGAATGTGAAATAAAATTCGCTATGCCAAATACATCGTGAAGTTATTTGTCGCGATATACGCCCAATACGCGACAACTGGTGTCAGAAGTGGGATTTGGACTTACACACGTGATCAACGAGATTCGAATTCAAGACACGTGACAATTTGGTGTCAGAATTTTTACGAACTTAAACACGCCTGAGAAATAATTGGATTGTTGTGCATCGAGTATTTTACTGCTACAACATGGACATGGAAAAGATGATGGAAATGTTGGCAAGAATTGACGCCAACGTGAAATCTAACCAAGTAAAAGCAGATGCCGACCGAGTGCACATGCAAGAAATGTTCCGCACCCATCAAGAAAAGGCGGAGGCCAATAGAAGAAAAGACAGAGAAGATTTCCTGGCGACGTTAGAATTCAATCAAGAAAAAGCAAATAGCATGCTGGCGAAATTAGACGCCGACTTCAATGCCTGCAGGAAGAGACGTTGGCCTGCCCAGTGGACACAAAACCTGAGACGGCACAACAAGAAGAGGTCCCCATAGTGATACCGGTAGGATTGACGATGGCCTACCAAGAAACGGAGGCACGTTCAGAAGATTAAAAGCCGGCTTCAGTGCACAGGAAACCTGTGGCGGCAGAACTACTAGAGGTACCCGTAAAAGACGCCGAAGTAATGCCAGTCGGAGAACCGAAGAAGAAAAGGCGTAGGGACCGAAACCGATGAAATAAGAAAATCTCGACACAGGAAAATTGCGGACCCCAGAACAAATTGGCCGTTGTTCACAGGAAGGTGTCCCGACATGCAACAGTGGCATGGCGTCGGAGGAACATCGTCAGAAAATCCTGGACCCAAGGAGATCATGAATCCCAGATGAAGCTGGCTGCCACCTGCAGGAAGACATCCCGTCGCGCGACAGTGGCACGAGGTTGGAGAAATGCCTTCAAGAAGGAAACTCCCCAGGGAACCTTCGGATGTCAGACGGAAAAGGTGACAACCAAGGGCGTCATCGGAGGGTGTAGATCAGGACAGCGATCGCACCAAGAAGGGAGAATTTGTAAGAAGACCATCTACGAGATTGTCAGCGTG